CGCGGAGCGGCTGGGCTCGTGAGCCATGGCCGCTGAGCCTGTGCGTCCGGAGCCTGTGCTCCGCAACAGGAGAGGCCACAGCAGTGAGAGGCCCGCGTACCGCAAAAAAAAAAAAAAAAAAAGAATCTTTTTCCCTGTCTCTTGGAAAAAACAAACAACTTGGGGCACTGGGAAAGGCACACTCAATTTTTGACCAGTGTTGCCAGCTCCCCTCAAAGGAATAATGTGATTCATCTCCTTATTAATGCAGGCCAAGGGAGTTCATGATCACCCAAGACCAGAGAGTAAATCAGAGACAGAAGCTCGAAGAAGTGCTATCAAGAGACAAATGGCTTCTTTTTACCAACCCCAGAAAAAGAGAATTCGAGAACCCGAGGTAATAGGGAGCTGACATTACACTTGTGGTCTGTGTCCGCCGTCATCACAAAATGCACTGAGAATTATGTAAAATATGAGTGCCATACCTTAATTTAAAAGGTTTCATTTTATGTGAAAATTATATACCTCTAACAATGTCATTGAATCAACATTTTGAATAGGGTTTCTAATTCCTTCTTCTTGATAAAAAAGCAGAATATCTCTACAGTTAATGATAGAGTGAGCATGTGAGCTGACATCCTAATACAAGGGCAATTATCGAATGGTCATACGGAAAGAAATAGGTGCATACCCATGCCTGAACGGTGCATCTTCGAGAGGGTCCTTTTCATTACTTACATAGAACAGAAAAAATTTCTTTGGGCAACTTGATCCAGTTTGGCTGTTCAACCAAAGTATGCCAAGGAGGCAGAATATTAGTTGGAGGATAAGAGACACTGGCATTGTTTGAGCACTTTCTATGTGCCACGCACATAGGGTTTAAGTCTTACACGTGAATTGGTCACAAAAGCCTTAAGAAGAAATTACTGTTATTAAGCCCCATTTTTTAACACCTTTATGGGAGTATAATTGCTTTACAATGGTGTGTTAGTATACATATAGCCATATCTCCTCCCTCTTTAAGCCCCATTTTTAAGTGAGGAATCTGAGGCTCAGAGAGGTTAAGTAACTTGTTCAGTGCATGAGGGACAGTCAGGATTTGAACCCAGGTCTGCGTCAGGCTCCTGAGCCTCTGCTGTTATGCACGTAGTATAGGGAGAACAGACCATCTGCCACTCAGACCCACCCTGCCTGGCTACCACGGTCTCTCCTAATTCAGCAGCGTGGAATCCAAGCGTGAGCTCAAGCTGTGAAATTCCCAGACCATGAGCTCAGATCATGTTTCTGAGCTCCTAACACACAGCCCACCAAGCGAAAGCTTGTTATTTGGTTGGTTGACGACTGTTACAGGTGAGGGTGTCCACGCAATTTACATCTTTATTTACAAATAAAAATTTGTGTCATTTTTTTAGGCAGGAGAGAATCAAGATAACGGTGGCCATTTCAGCAACATACCTTCCCTGGAGAACCCAGAGGAGTTTGATATAATTCCTGACACTGGCTTCCCTGTTCCAGGGCAGCCTTGCTTTTCCTTTCCAAACTCGGATGCTTACAAAGCTACCTGTGACCTAGCTGCCTTTCAAGGAGATATAGTACCACCCTTTCAGAAATATCCAAACCCAAGAATCTTTTTGCCTAGGCCACCCTGCAGCTATGAATTGGCAGGCCCTGGTTACACAAATTCAGGCCCATATTATCCCACCCTTTATAAAGATGCCAGCAGTATTCCTGATGACACGGACTGGGTTCATCTGAATGCACTGCAATACAATATCAACTCCTACGGCAGCTTTGAGAGAAGCTTTGATTTCACCAGTAAACAGCCTGGCTGGAAACCAGCTCTTGGAAAAGCTGACCTTGGGGAGAGCACTGACCATGGACAGTTCCAGGCCGTGGCCGCTCGCCCTTATTACAACCCAGAGCTTCCCTGCAGGTACCTCACGACGGCCCCGCCATCTGCTCCAGCCCTGCAGACAGTAATCACCACCACCACCAAAGTGTCCTACCAGGCCTACCAGCCCCCTGCTCTGAAATGCTGTGACAATGTGCGGGAAGTCACGAGCCTTTCTGGCTGTAACTATGATTCTGAAAACACCCAAATGTCCATCTACCTGGAAGACTTGGACCTTCCAGCTACAGTCGCCATGGCAGCCTCTCCAACAGCATCACTTCCTTTGAAAATTCCTGGAGATTGCCGGACCATCAGACACACTTTGCCTTTTCCTCAAGACTCGGCACCCTCCTGGACAGACGGAGCAGAGACGTGGGATGTGTGTCCATCTGGACCGGGGTCTACAATTGGTTATTCAGAGAGAATCAGTCCGTTCTTTAGCTATGACCATGAGGACTTTTGAACAACAGTCCTGGGGCACAGCATAATATTGGTCTCCATGCAGGCAGTAGAACATGACATGGCAACTCTCTCTTAAGTTGGGAGATTCATTTAGCATGCAAAGAAATATATATATATTATATATGTATATAGATAACAGTAAAACCAATTATCAGCGGAGTAAATTATAGGTTGGAAATGTTTAGATAATCTAGGGAAATCTTGCACAGCATTTTACTTACTTTTTTTTTTTTTTTTTGCCACGCCCCTCGGCTTGTGGGACCTTATTTCCCAGACCAGGGATCGAACCCGGGCCCCCTGCAGTGGACGCGCAGAGTCCTAACCACTGGACCGCCAGGGGAGTCCCTGCACGGCATTTTCAAACCCACTACAGCATATTGAATTAGGTCTGCAATGAGACTGTTCCGAATGAATAAGCATGAAAGTTAATGAGCTAAGTAAGTCCATTTAGTTTGTTAGCTGGAGTAGAAGTCAAGAATCCTGGCTCTCACCCCAAGCCTTTCCCCACTGGATCATATTAAGGAATTTCACAAATCTCTCTTCGGCCCTTAAGGGTTGTCAAAATAGCCTCGGGAAGAAATCTTTACAATCTTATCTCCTGAGTCATTTCCTAAGATTTTACTTAGCATTTACAACCTGTTAAAATAACTTCAGGAAGTAATTTTGATCATTTTACCTGCGAAGTATAAATCTACCGTGTTGCAATGATAAAGTGCAGTTGTTTTTAAGAGAATTTTGTTTTCCAGTATCAGCTGAATACCTTTTCTTAACATTGATGAATGTTTTCCTAACAGAGACAGCCTAACACTGATGATATGTATTTGATTCATTTTTATTGTACTACAATATACATTTTTTCCAGTTAGGTTTCAAAATTAGAATAGAGATGTTTTATTCAAATTTAGCTTTACTGTTCCTTTGTTAACTCCTCATAAATGTAATTGATAATGTTATTCAATTAAACATAATGAAGACATTTAAAAATAATGTAGCTGATGCTTGAGTTATTTCAAAACAAAAATAGGAAAAAATGTTCATATTATACCCTGGGAAACAGTTGTTATAATAGATTAAACATATTAGTTTATTTAAGTTTTGTACTTTTAGAAAAAACTATTTGCTATGCTGATAATGGAAAACCTCTCTGAAACAGTGCGCGTACGTGCACACACACACACACACTTTTGCACAGCTCCCAGTGCTTAGTGAAAATATTCAGTTTTCAAATAAAAACAAACTACGTAAATAAATTTTTGAGAATGGGGGAAGTGTGAGAGTGGGGGAAGGATTATCCTCAAATTTGCATAGAATACCCAGTTTGCACAACTAAATTGCAGTAAATCAGAGGCCATTTTAAATCTTTGAGCCTTCCATACTGCTCACCTGATTCAGAAAGCCCTCATACACTGATGTAATAAATACATGCAGTACTGGCCACAAGATTAAATAAATATTATCACACGCCTATTCCCTAGCCAACTTTTTCTCAAAGGAAAGGACACCTAGTACACTCACGGACTACTTTTTTCTTTAGACTCCCATTGCCAAAACTTGCAGCTTCTAATCATACCTAACATTTATATAGCACTTACGTGGGCCAGACACTGTTCTAAGCCCTGAATATGTATTAATTTATTTAATCTTCATAACAGTCCTCTGAGCTACCTGAGAGAGGCCAAATGATTTTCACAGTAAGTGGCAGAGCTGGAATTTGAATTCATCTCCAGAGACCCTGCTTTTAAGCACCACATTACATTAGCTTTGATTAGTTATTTATCAATGAAATCCCATTCGTACTTCGCAATTCGTACTTCGCAATCCCATTCGTACTTCGTACTTGGCATGAAGTAGAGAGTTTTATTACTTCTAAGTATTTATGTCCTAACACTGGATGCAAAGGATCCACGCAGTGTGGGTAGAAAGGGCAGGGATGGGAGTAAGCAGACTCTAGGCAAAGCCCTGAGGTAAGCATTTCCCAAAGTGTGGTACAAGTGTGCTCTGGGTTACAGGGTGATTCTAGACAGTCCACAAATGTTTTATGTTAATAGTTATGGATTTATGTTAATGTGTAATAGGGAAAGATATAAATAACACATCAAACCTATGATTTCAGGATACTTTTGCCTAGACAAAGCAAAACAATGTTTGTTTTTGTTTTAAGGCAAGGTAATGTAAGGAAAAGTATTAAGCAAATAATAGCACAGATGTTATGCAAAATGCAAATGCAAAAAAAAAAATCATCCAAATGGTTGAGAGCTTGTGCTCTGCTGCCTGTGCTTAGTCATGCTGGCTCTGCACCTTTGTAAAAGAAGGTTGCCTAGAGCCTGAAATATATGGGATAGCCCATTCTCAAGGCTCTGTCTCCCAGGCTTCACCTTTAAAGGTATGACATTTTTCATTCACACAAAGATAAAAAGTTGCAGAACAGAGAACAACATTTGTCATGTTGGAGGTTTATTGTTGGACCTACCTGGACAACTGCTAGAAAAAAGGACTATCACATCCTTTCTGGGGTCTGGCCGACCCCAAGATGTTTGCAGCTATCAGCTATACTCCCTCCTCTTTTAGTATAAAAGAAGCCTGGATTCTAACTTGGGTAAGATTCTTTCGGACACTAGCCTGCCACCTTCTCTGTCTGCTGGCTTTCCGAATAAAGTCGCTATTCCTTGCCCTAACACCTTGATTTATTGGCCTGTCACTCAGCGAGCAGTATGAGCTTGGACTCAGTAACAATAGTTTCCTAGAGCAAGGGGTCAGGGGGCTGAAAATAACTGACTCAGCTGAAAACGGGAAATGGTGATGACAACAAGATTGTATAAAGCTGGAGCCTATGGGGCAAACAAGCCCAGGTGTGACGCTGGACATATGCAAGTGTAACCCCAGTATTGAGGAGTCCAGACAGTGGGCAACACTCAGAAGCCAGGCTGTGGCACTTGATCCCAGAGGAGGGGGTGAAGACAGAACATACCTCAAGTGTTGGCTGGGGGCCCCAGCCACGCCATCCTCCAAGGAGCCAGGTTCCGGGGCAGAGTGTCTGGGTAGCACAGATGAGTTCTTGCAAACTGAGCCACCTGAAGAAGGCGCAGGAAGATTTAGACTCTGGGTCATACCTATTGCTCTAAAAAGCTGATCTTATTAGGGGGCAAAAGAGTTTTGTGGAGAATGAAAGGAAGTAGGGAACTTACAAGGGCCTAAATGTTATATTACTAATATGAAATATTCATTATGAGTTATGAGTAATAACTATTTGATTCTTAATTTACAGCCTTCAAATGCGGCCGGTGTAAATTAGAGCAGCCAAAGCTCCTGACATACTTTGTTCTGACCAGCTCATGACTGGGCTGAGCCCAAGCCTTCAGTCAGACACCTACTATATCAGCTACTGAGAGCAGAGGATATGCAAAGGAGGTGAGGCCAGGCTGAGAGGTGACCCCTGTGATCAGCGGTCCCCCGTTAGACTCAACCTGCCACGGGGCACTGAACAGAAACACAAGTTATTCACTTGCTAACCATTCTTTCCTCTCCATGAATAGTGCACAATCTTGGAGTAGACTTGATATACTTACCTGGAAGAACTTCAAAGTATTGAACCTAACCTCTGACAAACTGTTTCTATGGAACATCTGCTGGAGAAGATAACAGAATTCTTTTCAAATTTTAGGATCTTTTTTTTTTTTAATTTATTTTTGGCTGTGTTGGGTCTTCGTTTCTGTGCAAGGGCTTTCTCTAGTTGTGGCAAGTGGGGGCCACTCTGCGTTGCGGTGCGTGGGCCTCTCACTGTCGCGGCCTCTCTTGTTAAGGAGCACAGGCTCCGGATGAGCAGGCTCAGCGGCCATGGCTCACAGGCCCAGTTGCTCCGCGGCATGTGGGATCTTCCCGGACCGGGGCTCGAACCCGTGTCCCCTGCATTGGCAGGGGGACTCTCAACCACTGCGCCACCAGGGAAGCCCCAAAATTTTCGGATCTTATGGAATGATTTTAACTAATATTCCGTGAGACGTTGTGCTAAAAAAACCACTGGAAATAGAATTTACAAACAACAAAAGAAAGTGATAAATGGTCTCTCACTGCCTCTTTCTATGGTTCACAACATCCCTCTACACATTAGAATCACCTGGGGAGCCTTAACAATCCTAGTATCAAGGATGCACCTCAGGGACTTCCACGGTGGCACAGTGGTTAAGGATCCTCCCGCCAATGCACAGGACATGGGTTTGATCCCTGGTCTGGGAACTAGGATCTCGCATGCCTCGCGGTGTGGCAAAAAGAAAAAGTATCAATTAATTATAGTAAATATATAACACTAATGTTAGATGTTAATAATAGGGGAAACTGGGTGCAGGGCATATGTGAACTCTGTACCATTTTCTCCATTATTTTGTAAATGTAAAACCCTTCTAAAAAATAAGGTCTATTTAAAGTAAAAAATAGGGACTTCGCTGGTGGTCCAGTGGTAAAGAATCCATCTTCCAATGCAGGGGACGTGGGTTTGATCCCTGACAGGGGAACTAAGATCCCGCATACCGCGGGGCAACTAAGCCCACACACAACAACTACTGAGCTCGTGCACCTCAAATAGAGACCCCCGAGTCGCAAACTACAGAGCCCACGTGCCCTGGAACCCGCGCCACAACTGGAGAGAAGCCCACGTGCCCAACGAAGATCTCGTGTGCTGCAACTAAGACCTGACGCACCCAAAAAATAAATTAAAAAGAAAAAAGTAAAAAATAAATATTCCTCCTCCTGGGTCCCACCTTTGACAGCAAAATCCCAGGCACAAAGGAATGACAGAGCAGAGCCTTTCACTAGGACAAAAATGTCCTTATCTATGTATCAAAAACCTTATGTCCCGCTTGTGTCCTATTTAAAGGCATTTTTTTCTTGTATAGGATTTTGATCAGACTGGTGGTGCTTGGATCAAATTTAGCAAGAACCAATAGGATATATCTCTAGATAAGTATATATATATATATATATATATATATAGAGAGAGAGAGAGAGAGAGAGAGAGAGATTTTAAGAAATTGGCTCACAATTGTGGGGTCTGACGAGTCAGAAATCTGTAAGGCAGGCCCACAGGCTGGCAATTCCGTCAAGAGGTGATGTTACAGGTCTTGAGTTCAAATTCTGCAGGGCAGCAGGCTGGAAACTCAGGCAGGGTTTCTAGTTCCAGTCTTGAGGCAAAATTGCTTCTTCTTCAGGCAACCTCTGTCTTTCCTCTTAAGACCTTCAACCGACTGGATGAGGTCCAGGCACATGATGGAGAGCAATCTGCTTTTATTCGAAGTCGACCAATTTAAGTGTGAATCACATCTGTGAACACCTTCACAGAAACATCTGGAATAATGTGTGACCAAACAACTTAGCCTAGCCAGTAACCTCATAAAATTAACCATCCCACTTGATAAAGGTGGATTAAAGGGACCAGGGATATTTAGCTTAGAAGAAAAGACTCAGATGGGACATGATAAAATCTAGAAATATTTGCAGTCACCTCCAGCAGAGATGGGACTGCAGTATAGTGTGGCATTTAGGGTCATGGGCTTCAGACATAACTGAAAATAGTGAGCCAAGAAAGGATTCTGCCAGGGCTCCCACAGCTTTTTAGAGGGAGCTGGGATTTGGACCCAGCCCTTCCATGCACCTCAGTGAACATGGGGAAGGCAGTTCCTTTCTGGGAAGAATTGAGGGCTGTAGTTCCATCCTCTCAGGGAAACTGAAATCTCTCCTTCTTATTCAGGGGCAGAGGTTCTAAATTATTTGGAGGATTTGTACAGAAATATGGGAAACGTACTTTACAATCTAAAATAAAGAGTGAATGTGGGCCAGAAAAAAGGATGTGGTCTAGAAGCTTGCTTAGAAGCAACCCACCTAAGACACGCAGGAAAAGACTGGAGAAAAACGCATCCGATTAAGCAAAAGCGGTTTGTTATCATAGAATCTTTTCCATGGATCTTGGAATCCATGAATTCCTGAGACTGCGACTCAGGACATCCTTAGAAGGAAGATACATGGTAAGACGCCAACATTTCAAATATTGATTCCATCACACATCTCCTGTTTTGTATTCTTCCATGATTCCCTCTGGACAAAAGTTCAGGTCAGACTTACAAACTGCCTAAACATAAAACATAGCTTAGAATACTTAGACTTTAAAGGCTTGGTTTGTTTGGACAAAATTTAATTAGCATAATTTAAGATTAGACCAGATTATGCATTAAAAAACTAAAGTATATTTTATGTGGAGAAGAAAAGAGAACTAATAATACGCAAAGTTAATATATGTAAGACTTTGTCTACTCATTAGCATGGTAACCTCACCATAGTCATCTGTAACTCTTACTTTGCTACTATGTGGTAGCAAATGATATTCTTCTACACTCTGCACTGCTGGTGGAAAATATTGGAGAGATACGCATGATTGTCACGAGACCCTGGAGATTCATTTCTTTAACGAGGACAAGTTGCCTTGAGTCTGGGAAATGTTATACCAAGCATTTGCTGAACTTGAAGGGCGGAGCAAGTGGTGACAGAATAACAAATGTTATCAGCGACCTGTATCAGTTGTGCGAATGCCAGGAAACTAATTTCAAGGTGATTTCTCAGGTATTTGTAATAGATTGTAAATCAAAAATGGCTGCTGGCTAGTAACATCAGGCATTCCAAAACCTTGAGTTTCTGGAGTATTCCTTGGACTGTAAATGTAAAAGTTGTTCTCAAAAATATAAATATACCTACTTTAAATAATCCAGCAAAGAATGGATAAATATAATCTGAACTCCCACAATTACCTCTTACTCTTCAAGTGTTCTCCAAGGGAAATTCTAAACTAAGTAAGAAATCAATTCTAAAATGTAGAAATGGGGAATTCCCTGGCGGTCTGGTGGTTAGGACTCCATGCTTCCACTTCAGGGAGCACGGGTTTGATCTCTGGTCGGGGAACTAAGATCCCACAAGCCACGTGGCACACACACACCCCTCTAGAAAAAGCAGAAATGGAGTAAGGGATGAATTCTTCTTTTTTTAATTGGACATTTGCAGTGGTGATATATCTATATCAACTGAGTTGGGGACAGCTGAAGGGGGAGTACTTTGGGGAAGTGGGGCAAGGAGAGAGTGAGGCAAGGAGCTGAGTTTGAACATGTTAAGTTCAAACTCTTAGATTTCTAAGTGAAGTGTTGAGTAGGCTGTTGGCATCTGAGTCTAAAGTACAGGATGGAGGCACAGATTTGGAGATACAAGTTTGGGAATCGTCAGCATACAATCAAACTTGTAATTGGTTGGTTGTAAAATGCTATTCACATATAAAGTATCATTACCTAGTAATTACTCATGAATATAACACAGTAGCAGTCATTGACCCGCTAACCCTTCTGTTTGGAACATCAAAGATACTTTTTGAAGAATGAAATAATGCCATTTGCAGCAACATGGATGGACCTAGAGAAGTAAGTCCAACAGAGAAAGACAAATATCGTATATCACTTATATGCGGAATCTTAAAAAAATGATAAAAATGGACTTATTTACAAAACAGAAACAGACTCACAGACTCAGAAAACAAACTTAAGGTTACCAAAAAGGAAAGGGGGGAGGGATAAATTAGGAGTTTGGGATTAGCAGACACACCCTACTATATATAAAATAGATAAGCAACAAGGTCCTACTGTATAGCACAGGGAACTATATTCAACATCTCATAATAAACTCTAATGGAAAAGAATCTGAAAAAGAATATATATATCTGAATCACTTTGCTGTATAACAGAAACTAACAGAACATTGTAAATCAACTATACTTCAATTTTTTTTTTTTTTTTGCGTTACGCGGGCCTCTCACTGTTGTGGCCTCTCCTGTTGCAGAGCACAGGCTCCGGACGCGCAGGCTCAGCGGCCATGGCTCACGGGCCCAGCCGCTCCGCAGCATGTGGGATCTTCCCAGACCGGGGCATGAACCTGTGTCCCCCGCATCGGCAGGCGGACTCTCAACCACTGCGCCACCAGGGAAGCCCTTGAAAGATATTTTTAATAGAACTCTTTTTTTTGGAAAATAGGATATATACAAGTGTTAAGTTTTTCTTGTTCTGTCTTTCAAGTATTTTATTGCTGATCTTAAGTACTAAGAAGTTCAGAGATTCTCTATTGATTTTAGGCTTACAAAATATTATCAGTTGGAAGTTCTGAGAAGGCTATGTAATGACATCTTCAAGAATGCTTATCTTCCTAGGAAAGGAAAAGCTCAAATGTGAAATGCAGTCTTAAAGAGCCGTGAAGCTGCTAGGTCAGCCCTTGTCTTGATAGGAATCAAGTACTGAAGGATATGCTGCCAATCTTTGATAAGGAATATGCTGGTAGTTTAAAAATATACACACTTCTTTTCAACACTCCATCCTGTAAGGAGAATTGGAAGAAACATCAATTAAGGGTTTTTTTTAAAGGATTTTATTTATTTTTTATTTTTTGGCTGCGTTGGGTCTTCATTGCTGCGCGCGGGCTTTCTCTAGTTGTGGCGAGCGGGGGCTACTCTTTCGTTGCAGTGTGCAGGCTTGTCACTGCGGTGGCTTCTCTTGCTGTGGAGCGCAGGCTTCAGTAGTTGTGGCACGTGGGCTCAGTAGTTGTGGCTCACGGGCTCTAGAGTGCAGGCTCAGTAGTTGTGGCACACGGGCTTAGTTGCTCCGCGGCATGTGGGATCTTCCCGGACCAGGGCTTGAACCTGTGTCCCCTGCATTGGCAGGTGGATTCTTAACCACTGCGCCACCAGGGAAGTCCTCAATTAAGGTTTAACCACTGAAAAATTTATTATTTGAGGATGAAACAATTTATGGAAAGCACAAGGATGAGGATGTATAGGAGGGACTCCCCCAAATAATAATTACATTAAGCCACTGCCAATCCTGATGTTATGTTGAGTCTCAGAACACATATTTTGCCATTTTGCTGTTACACACCTACACATCAGTCCTTCAAAATACAAATAGGAATATTAAGGTCATAGAATACAATATTGCTCTGGAATATTTGAAGTATCAACACTCAAAAGTAAATTGTTGAATTTCTAGTTCTGGAAATGGTGGAGTGGCTTGTATTGAACTAACTCTCCTTCAGGTAACAGTTATAAACTCTGGACAAATATAAAGCATAACTATGTGAAGGCCTTAGAAAAATCACCAAAGTCAAGTAGAAATTGGAGGGAATTTGGAGGGAAGGGAACCACGATGGCTGTGGTCCATGTCTACACAGCTTCTCTCCTCAGGACACATCCCAGTCCACAGGACACGGGGCAGCTAGAACCGGAGCAGAACCCAGCATTTCTGGCTTGTCAGAGGATGGAGTCTGGGACTGCCAGAGCAGCTGGAAATTGAGGAAGGAAGCTTGGAAAAGAGAAGCCACAGAGAGGAAGCCCCCTAAATCTAGGTACAAACTCACTTTAAATTGACCCCTGACCTGTGCTTGCGTAGACGAGATTCCAAGGAGACTGTTAAAGCAACAGCTGAAAAAGCTGCAGAAACACAGCAACCATCTCATCTGCCGGCTGCAAGGGAGGCAGAATGAGGAGTTAAGTCTCTCCAAGTTGGGCATGGCAAACACCATGGGCTTTCCATCGAAACCCTAGAAGGGCCGTAGGGAGTAAAGTTTATATCCTAGGTCCAAAGAATGTACCCTAAAACTAATGGCAAAACTAAAACAAATCCATCTTCAAAAGTGCAATACCAGGGAACTTCCTGGTGGTCCAGTGGTTAGGACTCAGTGCTTTCACTGCAGGGGCCTGGGTTCAATCCTGGTCAGGAAACTAAGATCCCACAAGCCGAGCAGCAAAAAAAAAAAAAAAAGTGCAATACCAAGCATCCACAAATGAGTCAGTAACATAATTGACTACTTAAAACAAAAATCATCACTCTATTAAATGTCCCCAAACTGGTGGAAAAACATCAACAGACAGATTCGAAAAGCTCAGTGCATCTCAAAAATGATAAACACAAAGAAAATCACACCTGGGCTCATCATGGGAAAACAGCTGATAGATCAAAAATAAAGATAAAAATCTTAAAATCTTCAGACAAAATGAGGGAAAAATAATAAGCGTAACTTCTGACATCAGAAATAATGGAGGACAGAATCACATCTTCAAATATCCAAAAGAAAAACAAAACAAAACACATCAGCCAGAATTCTATATCCAGCAGAAACGTGTTTCAAAAGTGAAGGCAGAATAAAGACACATCCTATAGGCATCCAGAGGATATAAGGAAAGATTATGACAACTGGAAGGCAATACATTAGATGAGTGCGATGAAATGAGGAAAATTCCTTGCAAGAAATTTACCAAAACTGATGCAAAATGAAATAAAAATTATGAATAACCCTATAATTATTTTAGAAGATGAATTTATAATTAAAAACCTTCCTACAAAGAAAACTCTAGGCCTAGATAATTAAACCATTGAAGGCTAACATTTAAAGAAAAAATAGTATCAGTCTACCCAAATTCTCTCAGGAAATAAGAGGAAGGAACACTTCCTAACTGTTTTCCCAAGTTTAGCACAGCCGTAATATGAAAATTTGACAAAACACTACAAGGAAAAAAATATTCAGATCAATATCCCTCATGAACATAATTGAAAAATTCTTATGGAAATATTATTAAACTGAACCCAGCAACATATAAAAAGGATAATACATCATTTTCAAATGGGGTTTATAACTTTGACTTAACATTTAAAAAATTAATGTAATCCTGGATGGACCTAGAGTTTATCATGCTAAGTGAAATAAGACAGAGAAAGACAAATATCATATGATATCATTTATATGTGGAATCTAAGAAAAATGATACAAATAGACTTATTTACAAAACAGAAATAGACCCACAGACATAGAAAACAAACTTATGGTTACCAAAGAGGAAAGGCAGGGGAGAGATAAATTAGGAGTTTGGGATTAACAGATACACACATATATAAAATAGATATAACTGAATCACTTTGCTGTACACCTAAAACTAACAGAACTTTGTAAATCAACTATACTTCAATTTAAAAAATAATTTAAAAAAAGAAAATAACCTTTCAAACTCATAAAAATATGATCCACTTACCTAGATGAGTGACTAGAATGTAATATGTTAAATATTTGTTGTATATAATCTGTTATATTAACATATTAGCATATGTTAATAATGAACATTAAATATTAATACTGATCATTATAATTGTGCTAATAAATATTAATATATTTTTTAAAATAATGTAATTCATTACATATCTACCTGGGGGGAAAATAAACTGCAACTCCCACATATACAGAAAAAAATTAATCTGTGTTGGTTAATAGACCTACATGTAAAAGCTAAAAGTATAAATATGCTTCAAGAAGAAAACATAGGAGAATATCTTTGTGACCTTGTCATAGGCAAAGATTTCTTAGAACATGAAAAGCACTAGCTGTTAAAGAAAAAACTTATAAATAGGACATTATCAGAATCTAAAACCTCTGCTCATCAAATGACATAGTTAAGAATATGAGAAGGAAAGCCACAAAGAGAAAATATTTGCAAAACATATATCTGACAAAGAACTTGTATGCAGAATATATAAAGAACTCAAGCTAATCAGTAACAAGAAGACAAACAACCCAATAAAAAATGGCCAAAAATCTTGAATAGTCACTTTACAAAAGAAAACGTATGAATGGCTAATATATACATGAAAAGAGTCTCAAAATTATTAGTCATCAGGGAAATGTGAATGAAAACTAAATGAGAAATTTTGCAATCAGTGGAATGGCTAATTTTTTTTTAATGTACAGTGCCAAATGTTAGCAAGGATGTGGGGCAAAGTTGAATTCTCCTACGTTGCTGGTAAAATTGTTGAATGGTACAATTACTTTGGAAAACCACTTGGTAGTTCATTTAAAGTTTAACATACACCATACACCTCCTTTATGATCCAGCCATTTCACTCCTGCATATTTACTCAAAAGAAGTGACAACATATTTTCATTTAAAAGATTTGAACAGGAATTATCATAGCAGCTTTATTTATATTAATTAATGTCAATTGACAGGAAGATGAACAAATAAATGATGGTAAATTCATATGATGGACTCCTATTCCGTAATTTCAAAAATGAACTACAGATAAACACAACAACACAGATGAGTTTCAAAAGACTATGTTGAGCAAAAGCATCAGGGCACAAAAGACTAAATCCTCTAGATTCCAATTACATGAAGTTCAAGAACAGGTAAAACTAATACATGATAATAGAAATCAGTTGAAGTTTGTGGAGAAAAGGAGTAGGGATTGGCTGTTGAGGGACACAAGAGAGCTTTCTGGGATGATGGGAATGTTCTATATCTTGATCCAGGCGGTAATAACACAGGTGTGCACATTTATAAACACCCGATTAATTGTACACTTAAGGTCTGGCATTTCAATGTATGTAAAGTTTGCCTCAAATTTTTAGAAAGTAAATTCTTTGCATTTCCTAGAATAAAATAGTAGCCTCCGTATGAACATTTCTCTAGAAATGAAATAACTTTGGAGAGAGGCAAATAGTCTAAAAAGAAATCCTTTAATCCTACTGAAAAGTGTTTGGTGAGAAACTGCTATATTCTTGAAGATGGATATCCATTTTGGGATTATGTCAAGGCACTTAAAGAAAAAAAAAAACTTCTTTAGGTTGATGGAAGGAGTATGAACTAAGGTCAACATTGTGGATCACTTAATGTCCCACCCCTTCTTGGTAATGCAAAGAGCAGAGAAATACGTAGCAATCCTGCACGTTTTGATGTTACAGCTTTCTCCTAAAATGACCCAGCAAGAGTGATACCCACTGATCAAATCCAATGATAACACTCCTCCAGCATATATCATTTGGTACAAAGTGAATGTGAAAATTGAGGAAACTGTCAATATAATTCAGGTTGCTCCGAAGTTAGAAATCTGGAATTGTGTTTGTTGAGGCGTGGAAATGGGCAGCTGTTGAATTTATGGTCTCTTCATTGCTAAGAGTTTTTTGTTTGCTTGGATATATTCCCAGTTTTCAGCATCATTTACCACTGTGATCCCTAATCACATGTGTGTGACCTGTTTTTTCTTTTTGGAAGCTTATAGAATCTTCTATTTATCACTAATTTTTTGAAATTTCACAGTGATGTGTCTTTGTGTGGGTTTTCCCCCTATTGTTTTACTGGGTGTTTGGTGGGCTCTTTGAATCTGGAAACAAGTGTCCTTCAATTCTGTGCTATTCTTGTGTTAGTTTTTTGATTTTTGATTCCACTTCCTCTTTCTTTTCTTCTGCACATTCATTAGTTAGAGGAAATACTTGATCCTCTTATTTTCTAATCTTTTCTCTTGTTTTTTTTTAAAAAACTATATGCTGTTTTGTCCTAATTTCTGGGAGTTTTCCTTAAATTTATCTTCAACTATTTTATTAATTTATTCTAGATTTCTGCTACCCTAGTTTTATTTTCTAAGAGCTTTTTATTATTCCCTGAATATTAATTCCTATTATAGGATCCTTTTCCTGTTACATTCACAGACACAGTATTTTCTCTTTATGGCTTGGAGAATATGAATTATAGTTTTGGTTTGTATTGCCTTTTAAGAAGATGTTCCCTGTATTGTTTCTGTTTCCTCTGAGTCACAGAATCTCCTTAAGAGTCTCACAGTCCTTATTTGGCCTAGTTCGTTTGTTTAAATATTTTTATTGTTCTAAAATATACATAACATAAAATTTACCATTTTAGCCATTTTTAAGTGTACAATTCAGTGGCATTAAGAACATTCACAACCATCACCACTATCCATTTCCAGGAATTTTTCATCTCCAAACTGAAACTCTATACCCATTAAACAGTAACTCCCCATGCATCCTTCTCTCAGTCTCTGGTAAGCTCTATTCCCCTTTCCATCTCTGCGAATTTGACTATTCTAGGAATTTCATATAAGTGGAATCATGAAATATCCGGCTTATTTCACCCAACATGATGCTTTCAGGGTCCATGCATATTGTAGCATCTATCAGAATTTCATTCCTTTTTAAGTTGAATAATATTCCATTGTATAATATGTATAGACCACATTTTGTTTATCCAGTCACATCCATCAGTGGGTATTGGGTTGTTTCCATCTTTTGGATCTTGCGAATAATGCTGCCATGAACACTGCGGCGTGTTTCACTAGTAGGTTATACAAAGCTATTTAACCAGAATTTGGGCAAGGTGAAAAATAGGTTTAATATCTTCCCTAAACTAATGGTTCTAAAACTTGGCCATACATTAGAATCATCTGGGGTGTTGTTAAAACCTTCCAAAGCCCATGCTGCAACCCAGGCCAATGACATCAGATTACCTTGGGAGTGGGACACAGGCCATGAGTATTTTTTGTAAATCTTACCAGTTGATTCCAATGTGCAGCCCAATTTGAGAACCAGTGCCCTAAGTAGTGGTCACAGTCCTTATCTGGATGGGGCTTGTCAATCCGGGGGACTCAACTCTCAGTACCTGCAGGATTTTTTCTTATTCGAATCCACTTGCCCAGAAAGTACCGTTCTAATCTATGACCTACAGCATGAGCCAGCTGCCATCTTTCTGGAAGCCAAGCCGAGAAAGTGGTCCAGGGTCTCACCGTTCAAAATGCACTCTCTTTCTTAGCCTGCCTATTTTCAGCAGCTGCCTCATCCAGCCTTCCGCTGCGCTAGCGAGGGGCATCGCCCGTTTGGACAGGCTCGAGGGTAAGACCTGGCGTCTGCCTCTTCCACAGACTTCCAGCCAAGCCTCTTTTCTTCAGCTCCACCTCAGCCACTCTCTGGAGTCCCGCGAAAACATTCAACTGCTGAACTTCATCTGAGTTTGGAGTGTGAATCAGCTTCCTTCTCCTTTGCCACTTAGTCTTTGCAGTTATGTTTTTACATTTATCCTCAGGAAAAAGTACTTTACTTGTCCTAATTCACCCAAGACTTAGGCTTTGTGAGACTGTTCACAAGTAAACAAAAAATGAGCATGGACTGAAATATCTAGGGAATTGGACTCATTTTTAATTAATAACTGGTAAACTTAAGAGAACAAACTCTTTTCTGTTAAAAAAAAACCCCATAAATCTTGACATTTAAATTAAAACATATCTGGAATTGCCTGGCACTCCAGTGGTTAGGACTCCACACTTCCATTGCCAGGGGCCCAGGTTCAATCCCTGGTCGGGGAACTAAGATCCTGCCATCCACGGGAGATGCAGCCAATAAATAAATAAATAAACAAACAAACAAATAAATAAGTAAATAAAATACAAATATATCTAAATAAATACCTCTAAAGTCTCCATCCGTATGAAGCCAATTAAAAATTATACTTATCAATCGAAGACTTGTGTGGTGTTTTAAAAATGTGAAGCTTACATTTACCTCCTGTACTTTAAAAAGCTGCATTGATTTCCTGAGTTTTTAAACTTAACCTCCCCCAAATGTCCCATCATAACCCAAATCAAAAAGTATGCATTTTAAGAAATGAAAAAAGCTGGGAATGAAAATTTTAATTTCAATAGTCACTTGTCTTTATGATGTCCCTCTAGTATTTAAAAATTTTTATTTCAGAGTTTTCAAACTTCATTTTGGGCAGGAATTTGATGATATATCATATTACAGTAGAATCTTCTAAGTCAGTGAATAAAACGTATAAACAAAGTTGCTGGACTTAGAAACATATTGATAAAGATCAGCTCCTCAAATTCATTTGACAGAAGCAAACACACTTGAGAGGATATAATTTATGACTTCCTCTGAAGCACGACAGACTCTAGACTTATTTGCAAAAGGAACGAAGTGAACTGAATAATCTGTTTAAACATAACGCAGTGAAGTACCTGCTTCTTGACAGACAGGCCAGATCTCAGGTTCCCAACCCTGTCCTGCGGCCCTTCAAGATGGTCAAAGTCATCCATAGGGATGTTTTGTGGCTGAAGTTCCAATTGAGTGTTTTGGGTTCAATGTCTTTTGATCTCCTAGGTATGAGCCCTCCCTGGCTTCTGCCTGAAACTTCTGGGATCACCCTGAGGAAGGTGCAGAGGATCCTAGCACTGGAATGACACCACTCATCTAAGCCACATGGTCCTGTCACTTTTAACTCCTAAATATCCCTTGGGTTCTCTCCCTCTCTGTCCTATTCCCAGCCTCGCTGCTATAGTTGGATCCTCATCGTTTCTTCCTGATCGATTGCCATGGCCTCCTTTTTATTCTGTTGCCTTTACAATCACTGTTGAAATCCACCTTACCCACTGCTGCTTTTGTGATCTTTCTGAAATGCAAACGTGAACATATCACTCCTCTGTAGAAAATTCTTCACTGGTTCCCCAGTTACTGCCTGATAAGGCTTAGGCTTCATAACTGGGCATATAAGACCTCCATGATCTAACTTATGCTTCTTACTTCCCCTGTCTTTTTCGCTTTAAGCTGTGAGAGGACCATGAACATGTCTGTCCTGCTACCCTGGCATTATTCTCAGTGCCAGGTCCAGAGCCTGACACCTAATGGATAATTACTAATAGGTACATCACTACCCCATGTCTCATGCTTTTGATTTATGGGCTTTTTTTTTGCTAGCCAATTGAGTTTTGTTGTTGTTTGTTTTTTGGTAATAACACAAGTGTGCCCTTCTTTCACAACTCATTTATTCACACATTCACTCATTTACCTTGGGATCACTACAATCTAACACTGTGACTGCTACGAGTAAGTACTCTGAACGAATAAGTGAAAATGGAGATGACACATACCTGAGGAGTTGACTGCTCTGGATTGCAACTGGACTTGCAACCCAGTGCAGTTTTTCCCCAGGCAGTTCACGTATAGACAAATACAAGGACCAGGAGGCAAACGTAGCCTTCCACTTGCTCTTCACAAGTCTGGGAACAAGAGTCAATGAATCAAGACTTTGTAGAATGAATCGGAGCAAACAAAATAAAGAGCAAACAAACCAACTTCCAATAAATAACTACAAATGTAATCAGGACTCTCCCAAGCCCCAAATTAAACGGCACAGAGCGCTAATTCCATTGACACCCAGGTGTCCCCAGAAGCCACGCCCCTCGGGAGGCGGGGCGTGTGTATTGGGCGGGGCCTGCCGGCTCGGTCACGCCCCGTGGGCGGGGCGTAAGCGGGCGGGCTGAGCTGGAGCATCCCCGCGGTTTCCTAGGAGATGAAACACACAGCACGCCAGAGCTTGACAAGGGAGTGAACAAGGTAAGCGGCCGGCGCTGGCAGGTAATCCCGAGCGGGCAGCTGGGCCGCCACGCTCCGTCCGACCCAGCCCGAGCCTGTCCTGCGAGGCGGCCCGGCATGTCCCCTCGGCTCCCTGTCCTACCAGCGCCAACCTCCGCCGAGAGAAGGGGCCTGGACACTGGTAGTGGGAGAGACTGGAGGGAGGAGAATTCGGGGAGGGGCGGGGCGGGCAGGAGGCGGTCAACCTGCTCCTATAGCTGTCGGTTCGCTCCGAGACCCCCTGGACCACTTTCCTGCGCTCCTAGACGGCGCGGTCAGTCCTGGGTTGGAGGATGACGGCGGGAATCCATCAGTCTGAGGGACCCGCACCCCCGAACCTCTACCCCAGCGTCTCCCAACGCAACCCCTGCTCTCCCCCGCTCCCTTTAGTGCTTAGGCTGGAGGGGACGCTATTTTTAGGAGTGAGGGGCGGGATCAGGTCTGGAGAAGGCAATGGAATTGAGTTCAAAACTGTTACAAAATTGAAAAGGAGAAAGAAGAAAGAGAAACGGGGTCCAAATTCAGTCCTCATTCGTGCATTCCCAAATGACTCCCAGGTAAAAGCGGAATCCCGGCACAGGGTGGACCAGCGGGCGCCCCCAGTCCTCACGCCGAGCCAACCGCGGGGGGGTCAGGGGATCACCTGCCCCCTGCGGCCGGACACGCAGGGCCTCGGGGACGAGCCCTGCCCCCAGACGGGAGTCTTTTAAAAGTCCCGGTTTGCGAGAAAAGATCAGAGCGTCTGGGAACGAAAACTGCTTCTTAACTACAAATAAGACTGAGACATGGTCAGTTTAAGGACAGGGCTGGAGTCGGGGGAGGGGAGGCAATAAAACTGGCTTTTTAGTGGTTTGTAATCTCAATTCTAAAAGGAAAGAAATGTATGTGATTGTGTTTAGATAATCTTTTAAAATGATCAGGCATTTGTTCTAATTGTAACGGAATTCTCATAAAGAGAGTCAAAGTTATCGGAGTGATTTTAATCAGAAAAACGACCCGTTCAGTCGAAATAGTGGCGGAGGCAAACGTTACTTTCCAGCCTTTTGGCTTTCCTTTATCGGCCCCACGCCCTGTTCACCGCCGAGTGACCGGGGAGGGACAAACCCTCCCCTCCCCCGCAGGGCGGCCACCGTCTGCCTACGCAAAGCTGGCTGTACCATCTCTTCGTTGGGGTGGGTTACTTTGGTTTGGTTTTGCTTCGTTTTAAGTGTTTGTGAATATTAGCACAGAGCACCATGCTTTTATTTATTTTTTAACACAGAATCCTGTTTTCCCATTGTAAAAGCTCCCCTTTTAATTTCTGTAAACGTATGATTTGGTTAGTTTGAAATCTTTTTTCTCTTTTGCTTTTGAAACGACTTAATGGTTTTTATGGCGTTACTTTTTTTTTTTTTTTAACAAACGTTAATGCCAGCCTTAGAGTAATAACGTTACAGCAGATTCTACAAAGACAAGTTGAAGACATGGAAACGTTATCTGCTCAGTGATTGGGCAGACACAAATTTTACCCTCCATTTGTCCTCTCTGTTAATCTCCTTTAATCTTATCTAAATCCCTTATTACCTGGCAGAAGCTGTTGAGAATAAAGCTCAAGTTTACAGTAATTGCGCACTTCGATAAAAGTAAGACAACTAGAATGGGAGAGAAATGATAAGGGCATTTATCTAATGTAGGCCTATAATTGAGCCTCTAAATAAGTGTCTTTTTCCTTAAACCAGAATATAAGGTTTGTATAACTCATAAGGAAGTCAGTAAGTACTGGAGCTGGACTGCAGAAAATTCCAAGTTCCTAACAGTTCTATTAAATTAATTGAGGATCATAGTTACATTTACTTGTTTTGCTTTGTTGCATATATATGGAAATATATGCATAAGAAGTCATGTCAATACATCCCTGTTTTGCAGAGTTATCTTTCCAAAGGTCCACAGAGAAGAATATATGTAACTTGCAGAGAAATATTATTGGGTGTGAACTGGGGACCCATAGGCAGTCTGTCTTTTAAGTTACATGTACCGCTTTTGACTAGTAATCTGTTTAGGACCTTCCTATTCTACACTGATAAAAATAGTTGTTTATATGCTATCAGTGAGTAGGTACATGGGAGTAATGATTTTTTAAAAAATCCTTTACCTTTATATATCTATGCCATTAGGCCATTATCCTTATACTTTTAGGGGGATAAGGGGACAGTTGAAATGGTCAGCTTCTCACCTTGGAGAGCTGTTTATTTTGTATTTAACATGACTCAAAAGAGGCCTTTTTAAAGTTTTGTTTGGGAGCATAGTATGTAAACTTGTGTTACTTAAAGGTTAGTAAACTGGCCCAATTCTCTGAGAGCCACAAATCAGAGCTTTTTAAAATCTATGTCATATCCATAATCTTTACCCCTCAAACGAAAGAAACTGGGAAATGGCTGTGTCCCTTACTTATTTTTCCCTGAATATAAGTATCCTATGCTATAGCACTTGAAACAAACTTTGCGTTTCCAGTGTTTACTTGGAAGATGAGTGGTTAGGCCTGGAGTGCAGTTTCTACAATAGCCACTCCAAAACCGGTTGGGCTTCCAGGACAATGCAGAAAGGAGTCAATGACTGAATGGTCTGTTGTGCTAACAGTACTGACGATGGTGGGCTGATGGTCTTAATAGTGGACCGGAAAGAGGCAGTTAATCCCACTTTTGCAGGTTGTTGAGGCGCTGCAAGGGAAAGTTTCAATGTTTCTGGCACCTCTTACCTCTGAACTTCTCTCCCCATCTGTGCCGCTCCCTCTTTCACTCCCTTCTCAAGCCATTTGTCCTTTTCCAGAAGTGCCTACATAACTGCCTACCTCTCAGACCCTCAATGCCTGTCCTCAGTGAGGTATTAACAAGAAAATAATTTGTTGCATATGCAGCAGATTTGCAAAGAAAAGAAGATGCTATTTATCCCATTAAAATTCTTAATTAAATAATTTTGGGGGGGTTGGGTAAAAATAATAATTTTCTTAAGGAACTCCAGGAAGACTCCCTTCTCCCCCACTCACAGTCTTTCCCTTCACTGTTTCTGGCCTATAATTTTTCACTAAGTCCTTCCAGGTATCAGGACAAGACAGATGTAGCCCCAGGGTGTAGCCAGGGTGGGGCGCACCCTGTGCACTTTCCCGGTTGTTTATAGCATCTTGGCGTTTTAGGGTGAGGAGTTAGGAATCTTTAGGGGGTGGAGGGGGTGGGCAGCTTTCATTGCGGGGTAGATTCTACATGGTTTGGCAGCGGAGAGGGGTGGTTCCTTAAGCTGCACCAGTGATTGTAAAAGCTGGCAAGAATGGGTTGTTTAGCAGCTGGGGACTGCACTAAAAACCCAAACAGCTTCAGGCTAATGCAAGTATTCCACTGACTCCATCACTGATTCTCTGACTGCTCATAGGTCATTTAATCCCTCCGTGTTGTTACTGTATAATTTTACTGATATGATAAACACCATGGCCTTTTGGACAAATTTATTCTCTGTATTGTTACTTAACCAGAAAGAATCAGTAAACCTCTAGAAAGCACATTTCCTTAAAAGAGATAAGTGTATGTCACCTTAAACAGAAAAGCTAGAAAAGAATGTCAAGCAATTTAGGGATTCCCTGGCGGTTCAGTGGTTAGGACTCGACGCTTTCACTGTGGTGAATTCAATCCCTGACTGATGAACTAAGGTCCCACAAGCTGCCCGGTGCAGCAAAAAAAAAAAAAGAAAAGAAAGAAAGAAAGAAAAACAATTTAACATGCTGATAATAAAATGCAAAATACTGATTTAATAAGAGTCTAAGTGATCAGAAGAAATACACTTCAGAGTCCATGTTTTGTTTAATCATAGCACAGGGTACAAAACAAACCCCCAAAGAGCTTTCAAAATTATATTTCCTTATCCAGATAAAGGAAAAATGAAGAGAAGCAAATACACGTTTTGGTCAGGAAATATGTGAGGAGGCGGGGGTGTTACCTTTCTCTATATTAAGGCCTTAATATTTAGAATCTGTGTCTGTGTATAATGTAATGGCCACTTACAAAAGAACTTCATTTTCAGGCAAATGGGGAACCATTTGCTGGCATGTGTTAAGACCATTTGCTCAGATTTAAACTGAGAAAAATGGAGGAACCACTAAATAGAACTGGAGTTTACTATTGTGATCTCTTTTTCAAGATCCTGGCCACAGAGTTAGCATGGCCTAAACTACCTCTCATGTGCCTTTGAAGTGGTTATTATCTATATGAAGTAAAATAAATGACAAATTAACACACACTCCCTGTTATTTAAAAGCCCCACAGCTTCTTCCAAAGTTTCCTGTGGACAAATGTGTTCCTGTATAAAGGAAACAACATAGGTTTAGCGCACTTCTCTTCCATGTTTCCTCAGAAAGCCTGTTTTTGGAAGCCTTAGGTACTTTGACAACTAAAACATATTCTTGTCACTCCTAAATTTCTGCATCTAATAGAGAAGCAATTTTTATGACTTTATGTCGTGGAGATCATGCTACAGTGAAAAAAATAATAATCTTTGGGCTTCCCTGGTGGCGCAGCGGTTGAGAGTCCGCCTGCCGATGCAGGGGACACGGGTTCGTGTCCCGGTCCGGGAAGATCCCACATGCCGCGGAGCGGCTGGGCCCGTGAGCCATGGCCGCTGA